ATATTTTTATGGCTAGATTTGTAAGTTACAAGTGCTGCCTATTATGACACACAGTGTCATTGAAGAGGAGAGCCGACATAAGCAAGTTTTGTTGCAAAGGAAGCTTAAACTGGATCTAATTCATTCAAGAGTAAAATGGAAAAAAAATACACCTTCGCCCCCCCCCCCAAAAAAAAAAGAGTGAGGTAGACTTGATGATCATATCTTAGGTCAGGATTCCTGAGTTCTCTGGTCAGTGTTAATCTTCCTTTACTTATTTACACTTAATGGTTGTGAACCCCAAGACAAGAGGTTCTTTGTTTAGGAGAGAATGCACAAATAGTTATGAAGGGTTATTTAGTAAGTTAATGGGTTCAATGATTTCAAGAAGTAGAAGGTTTTTGTCCCCCTAATTTTTTTGAAAAAATTTCAAACCTACAGAAACACTGTAAGAATAGTGTCATGAGCTCCCGAATATCTGTCAGCTAGAGTCACCATTTACTGACTGAGACATTTGGAAGTCAATTCAGATATTAACATACTTCAACTGGATAGCTGAAGCATTCATCTCCTATAGCATTCCTAGCATCATTATCACTCCTAAGAAAATTAACATCAATTAATTATATTATATACATGTTGTACATATTTAAATTTCCCCAGTTGTCTCTAAAACATTGATTATAGCTCTTTTCCAACCTAAAATCTAATTGAGAGTTACACATTGAGTTTGTTACCTATCTTTTGTCTGTTTCAATCCTAGACTATGTGAATATTCTAGTCCCTTAAACTTTCATCCAGTGAAAGTTTTAGGACATATCACTGATTTTCTTGAATCAGGCATTACATTGGCCCTGCAAAAATGATGGCTATAAAATTCTATCATATCATTTCATCTGTATTTAGTAGCTGGCATAAAGAAGATCTCTCCCATTCTCTCTCTTTCTTTGTGAGCATCACTATGCACTTGTGAATATTTGTGGGGGGGTGTTATCATCTATCATTATCATCATTTTTTTTGATGGCCACATTGTCCTAAATTTGGCAGTGGGATCTCCTTCAAGCTAGCTCATCTGTGTGTGTGTGTGTCTCTGTGTGTTTTATATGACTTCATTAGTTTTTGAGCACTTCTAGCTTTCTGGCATAAAAAATATGTTCTAGGGTCATCTTGATCTTTCCCTGCTCTAGACCTGAAAACAGTCACTTCTCTAAGGATCTCTGGTTCCTTCAAACAGGGAATGTTGTTTAGAAACCAAGATCTGGGTGCTGGGTGTCTCAGAGCAAGGGGTAGACCCAGATTTGTAAGGCCTTATGCCAGAAGAGATCCCTAAGTGAGCAGTTACAGATTTGAAGTTTTATTAGCTTTATTATTGGGATATTATTGTTTTTAAGATCTTTCCATGAACAGAATATTCTAATCTAACACCACAAGTTTCTTTCTTAGCTTCTGTCATTTCAAATTTTTATATAAACCAGGATGAAAATCATGGTTCCATATAAAACTTGTTTGTTTTATATATTACTATATTGACAAAAATGGGTTTAGAATTATAACACCAGTATTCCCACCAAAAACAACCTACCAGTAAAGTTTAAGATTTCTGTGTAGTTCTTCTCAATATCTTATATACCCTACTAAGTATATACAGCCAGATTACTATATTAGAATGTTATTTAACCTCCTCTGAATGGCTATAATATCAATACAATATACAACTAATTTCAAACTAGTTTCTGTTTGAATTCAATTTTAGGGCTTGCTTTTTTATTCTTTTTGATTTACTTTATTTTTTTAAAAAATGCAAAACATTTATGATTAAAGGTCAAAAAGATACACTGAGAGGTTTCACTCTCACCCCTATTCCTCCACTCCATTAACACCCATCCTCTGTAAGGCATCATTTTTGTTAATTTGTGGTTTATACTTCACAAATTTTTTTTGCAAAGACCTGAAAATAGATATACAAATTCTTAGTTATCTCTCTTTTTAAAATCAAAACATAGTATATTATATACACTCTTTTGTACTTTTGCAACCCCCCCCCCCCCAAATATGTCCCAGTACTCTATATCTGCTCCTGGAGAGCTTCTTCATTCTTTTTTTTTTTTTTTTCAGTCTCACTTTGTTGCCCAGGCTAGAGTGAGTGCCATGGCGTCAGCCTAGCTCACAGCAACCTCAAACTCCTGGGCTCAAGCAATCCTGCTGCCTCAGCCTCCCAACTAGCTGGGACTACAGGCATGCACCACCATGCTCGGCTAATTTTTTCTATATATATTAGTTGGCCAATTAATTTCTTTCTATTTATAGTAGAGACGGGGTCTTGCTCTTGCTCAGGCTGGTTTTGAACTCCTGACCTCGAGCAATCCGCCCGCCTTGGCCTCCCAGAGTGCTAGGATTACAAGCGTGAGCCACCGCACCCGGCCTCTTCCTTCTTTTTATAGCTGGATAGTAGTTCATTGTATGGTGCTCTACAGTTGATCTAACCAGTCTCCTATGAATGATAATTTGATTGTTTCCAATATTTACATCACTATTTTGGAAAACTGTATAGACTGCACTATAAATTTAAACCAGAGGGAAATGTGTACCCAAGCAATAAAAGTAAGAATTTCGGAAGCATTTGAAACCCATCAACCAGACCTTATTGAACAATTTTGGTTCATTCATTCATTCATCTGTTCATTCAACAGCTATTACTGGGTATCAGGAATTGACATTTACTTAGAACATTTGTTTGGCAGTGAGAAGTTTATGCAAACCTACCTCCAAAGTCTCAGGAACCTGAGAGACGGAAGAAAGAAGATGACAAATCCAGCTGCTCGGAAAGAAGCATTTAATAGGGACTTATGAACAGAAGCCATGTCTCAAGTGGCAGCAGCAAGAGGAAACAAGATTGTGGATCCTAGAGCCATTACATTCGGGACATGGGGTTTATATACCTTACGTAAGGAATGTGTGGGACAATTGAAATCCACCCTTCAGGCAAAGGCAAGAATGCTATGTGAATCTGCCTAGCGGCGGATTTACAATAACAGCAGATAAAGTAGAAACCGTAGAGACTGTCCTGGAACAGGGGTTAACCAGAAGTCAACATGGTGGATTAGCATCCTGGATGGAGTTGCTTTAGCCTCCACAAGCATCATTCACCTGGATGTGCTAAATTATCTGAGTTACTGAAAATGGGTTTACTAGGTTCCTTACAGAAAGGTTGCTTGAGTTTATAAAATATGAGGCAGCTGATCTGAGACAGTGGTTCATGGAATTTTGAGTTACTATTGCCTTTTTCATTGCCTACATACCATGTGTAAATATGTCCCCAAATATTTGAAGTCTATGTTCATAGACTTAGTGCAGAATTAGGGCACTTAGCAAAGTAATATAAGCTTGACATTTCAAGACAATATTCTTAAATACACACATATTAAAGATACACACATATAAAAACACATACTATATATGTATGTAATATATATTCTTCTGTAATGAAAGAGAATATAAATCAGACTTTATTCTTGAAAGTTTGGTTTCTGTTACATTCTTGGCATATATGAACCCAATTTTATCAGAAAATATGAGAAGGAGAGAGCCAGGGACTTCTCTTAGATTCAAGAGGAGCATAAAGTTTATTGTACTCAATGTTGTATGAAAACTTTTTTCTCACTTTGCTTTCTTATCTCACTAAGAACTACATCAGCAGAAAGATGTACAGGTAGTGGTGTGACGTATTCGGGTCAGATCTAAAGAATAGCTAAATTGATTCTTATTTAGTGGTGCCCAAACAATGGAGCTATTACTAAGAGTCCCCCCCAACCCCCACATTTGTGATTACTATATTATGCGGAAGTTCTGTGAGCAGCAAGAGAAAAAAAAATACTTGAACAGTCACTCTCACCATCTTTTACGGAAGGCTAGTGCCCATTAAGAAGCTCTTTGCATTCGTTTGTCCATAAATAACACCCTACACAGTTCAATTTGAAATTTCAGATCGACCTACACTCCAACCCTCGGGCAGCTGGAACAGTTAATTATAATCCTGGCAGGTCACAGAGTTGTCTTAATTTCTCACTCAGACCCAGGACACCCACTACCTCAGGCTAGAAATTCAAGGCTCTTGCAGCTAGTTCCGCCTGCAGTTTTAGGGCAGCAAGCCTACCAAGTGTCTAGGAAAAGGTGACCTGAAAACCTTCCTTCTCGCGGGGCCAGGAAGGCGGCAGAATTTTGGGATCAGATATCAACAGTCCGGGGTTTGGTGTCCCCACTCCCCAAACCACAGGCCCGCAGAGTGAGAGTAACAGGCAGGGAAGAGGAAGAATGGGCGAAGGGGCCAGCCCACCGCGGGGACCTCGGTTTCTTTTTAAGAGCCACCTCCTGCCCCTGATAGCGGTGTGACCTGGGGCGGGTCACTTAGCACCTCTTTAGCCTCCTTTCCTTTATCTCCGTATTCTCCCTGGCAAGTACATCTTCCTCCTGGGAATGCTGAGAGGATCTACTGGAAAAATGTGAGTAAACGTCTAAGACCCTGGCCCGCGGTCAACCCTTAATAAAAAATAGCTGTTTTTAAATGGCGGTCGTTACCATTGTCATTACTGTTTTGTTTGTAGTCACCACACTGCCTCTGCCATCACCAACCTCTTGACGTCGCCACCGGGATCCCCACCTCCCAGCCTGGCAGCTCCAGGCGCCGGTGACTCATTTATTTCTAGAACAGCCCTCTAGGCAACACTTTCCAGAATGACTCCTTCTCAGAAGGCGGGAAATCCTCTCTGGAAAAACCTTCTCTTTCCGTCTCTCTCTGACCCAAGCTCCCCAAAGTGAGACTCAGAGGGATTACGCGCCGGGGACTCAGCCCGGCCCCGCGGGCTACCCCGCCATCCCGGCTCGCGCGCGCCGGCAACTTCCCCGCACGCCGCCGCCCCCTGGAGGACGAGGTCGGGAGCGCCCCGGCCCTGGGGTTTTCCAGGGCTCCCACTCCTGCCCGCGGCACCCCGCGGTCCCCGCCCTAAACTGGCTCCCGCCCGCGCGCCCGCCCCGCTCCCTCGCTGCTCTCGCTGCCCGGCCGCATCTTCCTCTGCCTCGTACCCGGAGGGACCATGTCGAGGCTCAGCTGGGGTTACGGCGAACACAACGGTGAGCGCCCTTTTCCCGGTCCGAGGGGGGCTTTGCGCAGGGGGGCGGCCCAGGGGGCGCTGGCCCGACGCCCGGGCGCCCGCAGACCGCACGCTGCCGATCTCTCTCACTTGCGAGCAACTTTTCGGTTCCTCTTTCAACCGAGAAGCGCTTCTCAGAGCCGAATGCAGGAAGCGGAGGGCAGCTTCGCCAGTGTAGACGAGGACAGCCTCTTTTGTGGGGTGTCGGTGGTGGAGTTGGATGTGTTGGTGTTGTGTGCGAGCTGTTGTCAAGATTCCCCAGACCCCCGAATCTTCTCACGTGGTTCGTTCACCTTCATTTCAAGAGCCGAGGACTTTCGCTGGTAACAACCACTTATCAATTAAAGGCTTAGAGATTAGAAGTCTGATGACACACTTTAATGAAATAAGGACAAGTTCGCTTTTAGTCTTTTAAGCTCATTGTTCTCTTGGGAAAAACAGATCATGGAAAATCTTTGAAAAACATATTTAAGCAATCTTAACTTGCGTTGTGACACTGGAGATTAAGTTGCCTTCTTGGCAAACCGAAAATGCTGCAAATTTCTTAATAGCTGTTACTGTAAAATATTCCCATAGCAATTTGCAGTCAGTTGACTGTTACTATTGACTTTAGTAAGCCTTGCTGGTAAGTCAGTAAGTTCTTGCTGGGAAGTGAAGTTGTATGTGGGGTTACTTTACTTTTTTCTTCCTCTCCTTCCACACTTATCCATGTAGAGACTGAAGATTAGCAAAGGATTATTGAAATTTATAAAACATTGATAAAAATTTATTGATAGGAGAGACAATAATAAGACGTATATTTTTCTTCTTGTATATCCTAAGTTATTGAAAGTAAAGCATTTTTCTTGTGTTCACATTAAACTGAATTGTTTCAAATCACGATTATTTGAAATAATTGCAAAGTGACACCCAGAAAGCCTTTAGTCAACGACTGCCTAAATTAGCGCTGTTTTCACTTGATTTAGCATTCCACAATGTATATATATTTCAAAATATCAATCATGCTGCGCACCATAAATACATACAATTTTTATTTGCCAATTTTCAAAAGTAAATAAATAATAATAGAAAAATTAAGGCTGTGAATAATAATACATTCCTTTGACTGTTTGCATGTACATTATTGAACAGTACTGTATAGACAAATTTTATGGAAAGTTTACTTTCACAAACAGGAAAGTTCCATTTCTAATTGTAGCCTGTTTAAAGTTATGATTAACATGCTAGCTTAAACATCACAGGGGGTGAAATTTAGCACTTTAATAATCAGAAGTGTAATATAACCAGATTTTTTTTCATTGACTTCATAATTAGAATCTTACTTTTTTACAATTTCCAATTGATGTTTAGGGAAAAAACACAAAACAAATTTCACTTCCCTCTTTGCTGAAATTATTTTTATTATTATTTTTTAAAATCTTTTTTTATATGAGGAATGGTATAGCTGATATTATTGTTATTTAATAGTCACTGGGTGGTAACAGGTCCTCATAGTACTTAAGAAGAAGGGTATATCAATTGATGGGTACTGATTACTCTTTAATAGGTTAGGATTTATTGGCCCCAATAAAACTCATCTTCAGAAATTTTAAAAATCCATGTTAGAAAAGCCATTTATAAGGAGTGATTTTTGCATTTTTGTTAGGAATTGTAGGACTATTCCCTTCTTTTAGATGAAATCACTCTGTGAGGACCACACCTATAAGTAGATTAACTGTGGCAAAATTCTACTTGAAATGTGTTGTACCTTGACGAGGCAAGTTTTGTTGCCTGTTTTCTGTTTAGACATTGGCAAAACCAGCCACTGGGCAGATAAAAGGAAACAAACTGGGAATGGCAGCACTGATAAAACAGAACATCAAGTGGTGAAGCTCTGAAAGGGGTACCACTTTCACAAACAACTTACAACATTTTCCACCAACCTTTGATCATCGTATTGGTTTAGTTTAGGGAATATGATGTTACTGAAAACTGTATGGATATTTAAAAGTTTCTGAATTGATTGTGAAACCATCATATATCTCTACTTAAGAATGATGTTTAAACTTGGACATTTTAGAAAATTTTAAAAGGGCGCCTTTTTAAAAGGCAGGGAAATGAACTGACTGTAGTGTTCAATAGATAATACTGGGTATTTGATGCAAAGTATTGATATTTATTTTATTTTGGTTTGACTTTTCTTTTGAAAATAGTTCTGATTGTAGAGAACCGGAAATAGGAGAGCAAAGGAATTAGGAGGAGAAAGAAGCTGTGTCCTGATTGGAAAAATGTCAGCAACATGTTGTAGCACATGCATTACATATTTGACATCTAATCCTCCTTAGGTGAACCCAGACTTGGTGGCAGTAAAATAGAAGGCAGACACATACCTAACGTGTCTGATTTGCGACCTTGATGCAGTTTTGACTTTTTGAGCGGAGGATCAGGATGATAGTTGTCCCTTTTGTTGGAATTCAAATGTGATATTGGCAAAATAACAACAGAAGGAGCTTGTGAAACGTAGAAAGGGAGAAATAAATTACAACTTAACTTCTCAACAATATTATATTCCTGGACATGGTACAACCATTTTATTCGGATTATCCTATGTGAAAAATTTATATATATTTTTTGGTATGCCAGTTGGACATCATGGTAATTGAGTTGAGGCGTGGGTGACACTAGAAGATACCAGTGAGTGATAGAAGAAAAAAGAAAGAATTAGGGACAGCATCTTTAAGAGGGATACCCTTTCTTTGATAAACAGCTTTCTCAGCTCTTTTGACTCTCCTAACCCCACAAACTTGACCTCTGGAGCAACCACAGCTCTTTTTTGGAGCTGAGACTGAATCTCACTGTTTTCAATGATGAATTGTGCTATTGTTTTCATTTTGGTAGAAGTACCTTTGGAAAGTACTTTATAAAATTTACATGCTCCTTTGTCTACAAGGGTTACTGTAATTCTGAAAATGACTTAAGGCAAACCAGGAGTTTCCCACATCTATGATAAAAACAACTAGTCTTATAAAAAAAAATTAGTTGCCAAGGTTCTGAACATGAGAATCTCATTTTATTAATTTTTGTTTTTAATTCGGTCTCAAGTCTCAAGCACCGTACATTATGCTCGATGAATATTTGTTGAATGAAAGAACTCATTTAGCCCTTTTCTTTTGGTCCTATATATTTAATTAAGGTCCTGTTCATTGGAATGAATTTTTCCCTATTGCTGATGGTGATCAGCAATCTCCAATTGAGATTAAAACCAAAGAAGCGAAATACGACTCTTCCCTCCGGCCCCTTAGCATCAAGTATGACCCAAGCTCAGCCAAAATCATCAGCAACAGCGGCCATTCCTTCAGTGTTGACTTTGATGACACGGAGGACAAGTCAGGTTGGTTGGCTTTGCTTTTCTTTTATGGGGGGTGGAGGGGTAAGGAGTTTGGATGATTAGGCTGTACTTTCTTATCTTTCATATTTTATATTTGCTAGACCTGGAATTTGCCAAATTGAAGTATATTTTTTCTTTATGTGAATTGAGATATCCTTTGTACATTTGGACCTTTCAGATAACGTTACCTTAAAAAACACAAAAGAGTATGTTGCCTAATAATTAAAAATTAGTCTTAGCTTGTAATTATAACTTCAGTTAATATTTATAATTATGAAAAATTGAAGTTTAGTAGTATTTTATAAATAATTCATGATTTGTTTCTGCAAAGTTTTAGTTATAATTATTTTAGCATTTCTTTGCAAACCTATAACATCATTTGTACATGATTTAATAGAAAAAGGTTAGTTTTAAAAAAATATCTTATTCTCTTATTATATTTTATTTTTATATAAAAAAATTCTTCTGAAACAGAGCCTCACACTGTTGCTCAGGCTAGAGTACAGTGGCGTTCTCATAGCTCATTACAACCTCAAACTCCTGGACTCAAACAATTCTCCTGCTACAGCCTCTCGAGTAGCTGGGACTGCAGGCACACACCACCACACTTGGATAATTTTTCTAATTTTTGTAGAGATGAGGGCTCGCTATGTTGCCCAGGCTGGTCTCGAACTCCTGGCCTCAAGTGATCCTCATACCTGGGCTTCCCAGAGTGCTGAGATTACAGGCATGAGCCACCACTCCTGGCTTATTCTCTTATTTAGTCATAAAAGTAATACACACACATACTAAATAATACAAAAATATATGATAAAAATTGATATTTCTTTTTTGCCACAACCTCTCCTGATGCAACCAATGTTATATTCTTCCATCACATTTCAATGCTTAGTCATGTACAGATACATGTGTATTATGCTTGCTTTGCATTTTCTTTTTAAAAATAAATTTGAAGTAATGCTATTTACTCTGAAAATTTCCCCATTTAAAAATATTTCATAGACAACTTTCCAGGTTAAAATATATAGATCTGATGCTCTTATTTAAGAAATTGAATTGGATTAGCTATGCTTGTATCATAATTTATGTAGCATTCTCCTAATAAGGGACATTTGAAGGAGGAAAAGTAGAAGTTTAATTTTTTTAATAAAGGAATATTTAAAACACCTATTTACTATATATTCCTTATTAGTAATTTTTCTAGACCTTGTAATAAAAGTTTTGTTTGATTAGTTCATGGGATAATGTCTTTCACACTGTGAATAAATAAAGGATCCATCAAATAAAACTTTAGTTTATTTGTTAATTTATTAACTAAATGAAGAAGAAAAGAAAATTTTCTTAAACATATAACTCTTCTTCAAGCATACCTACTGTCCAAGCATAGATACTGCCGAAGATATCATGTTTAAAAGCAAGATGAGAGAAAATATTAGATTTATATTTTGAAATACTTTTTAAGGCTTCTGAAGAATTATTTTTAATTTAATATTTGGATAATGTTTTATTTGCTCTACTAATGAAAAAATATAGTGAAATTTAGAAAGTCCTTAATTAGAAGAAAGTTTTCACTGATTCATTAAGCTCAGATTTAGTTTAGTAGTAATATCTTATATTTCTGTAAAGCTTTATTGTTAGCAAAAATTATAAGCCCACACAAATTTCTTCCTTATGTTTGTCAAATTCATAAAAGTGATACATTTTCATCAAAGCACTGTAAAAAATGAATAAAGAAAAATGAACCCATGATCTTTTCAACATTTTGGGGGGGCAAAGGTGGACAGACCTGGTTTTTTATATATATTCAATTGTATTGCCTTCAAGCTCTCAATTATGTGAATCCATGTTAATAGATGTGATTAATATAATGAGTACATTGTAAAAGTAGTCCAAGGCTTCTTAATGCAAAGTTTATACTACTCATAATTGTAGTTCAGTACTGTTTATAATATCTCAAACATAAAAAAGGTGAGGCTACCCCATTCCTTATTTTAGAATAAGAGATTATTAGATTGTAATTTTAGATTATTAGATTGAAACTTTAAATTATTAGATTGAAACTTTAAATTATTAGATTGAAACTTTATGTCTTTTCTTTATAAATGTAGGCACCCTTAGTGGTAAAAAAAAACTCCTACTCTAATTCGCTCTATAGCAATACAGGTCGGGCCAGGCACGGTGGCTCACGCCTGTAATCCTAGCACTCTGGAAGGCCGAGGCGGGCGGATTGCTTGAGGTCAGGAGTTCGAAACCAGCCTGAGCAAGAGTGAGACCCCCATCTTTACTATAAATGGAAAGAAATTAATTGGCCAACTAATATATATAGAAAAATTAGCCGGGCATGGTGGTTTCATGCCTGTAGCTCCAGCTACTTGGGAGGCTGAGGCGAGAGGATTGCTTGAGCCCAGGAGTTTTGAGGTTGCTGTGAGCTAGGCTGACGCCATGCACTCACTCTAGCCTGGGCAACAAAGCGAGACTCAGTCTCAAAAAAAAAAAAAAAAATACAGGTCACTCTCTTTCTTCCTCTTTTTCTCTCTTCCCCTCTTTTCCCTCTACCTTGGGTTAATCATGAAACCAGTTTGTTTCAGATTTGACAGTTCGTGATCAGTAGTGTGTGCTCTTTCCCTTAAATGAAGACCTTGTCTTATCTAGATCACAGTGAAATCACCGGGATTAATTGAAAATGTCCATGAAGTACTTTGTACTCCTTTGAGACAGAAGCTACGTAGATATGGCTCATGATCTTATTCTTTTTTTTTTTTCTCAAGATAAACCAAAAGCAATTGTCTCCTGTTGATTTTGGGGATTAAATCAATTAAAAAGCAGAAACCACCATAGTTAAATAAAATAAGTTGTTGCTTTATTTATTTATTTTTGGTAAACTGTAAAAACCACAAAGACACTTTCTATAGCAAAACACTTTTTAATTTTAATAAAAGTTTCCATTTTGAAAAGTAGCCATGCTTGACCAAAATTAACTCTGAATCCTACCAGTCAATAAACCACAGGCATGAAATCTTCCTCAAGGTCCTCCTTGCAGGGCTTGTTTGGCTGGGTACATCCATATCCCATAGTTAGTCTTCCAGAGACCACCTTTCAGAATTTTAATAGTCCTTTAAAAAGGAAACAGGTGGATGTGAAATTCTTTAGGAAGAATTCCTAGTGGCCAGGTGCAGTGGCCCACGCCTGTAATCCTAGCACTCTGGGAGGCCAAGGCGGGCGGATTGTTTCGAGTTCGAAACCAGCCTGAGCAAGAGCGAGACCCTGTCTCTACTATAAACAGAAATAAATTAATTGGCCAACTAATATATATAGAAAAAATTAGCCGGGCATGATGGCATATGCCTGTAGTCCCAGCTATTCGGGAGGCTGAGGCAGGAGGATTGCTTGAGCCCAGGAGTTTGAGGTTGCTGTCAGCTAGGCTGACACCACAGCACTCACACTAGCTTGGGCAACAAAGTGAGACTCTGTCTCAAAAAAAAAAGATTCCTAGTGGCTGTAGTATACAGGGAAATAGTAATCTGATGAGGAAAGACTAGGCTGTTCTTACCCTCAACTACTGGTCTTTCTGGACTCAGACAGGATCTTACCTCTTTGGGAACCTCACTTGACTGGTCCTTCCACCCTTGCTGAGGTGTCTGGGGCCTCTTGGACTTGTCCTATCACAGAACTTTCCATGCTGTATTGTAATTGCTTTTCTGTCTTTCCACTGAGCTAAAGACTCCCTAGGGGCAATAGCTATGTCTTACTTGTCTACCTAGCATGGTGCCTTGCACACAGTAGGAACTCAATGAATGTAAGTTACCAAAAAAAAAATTTTTTTTTGATATGATGGAAGGACATGGAAAATACCATGATATGGCATGAGGGTACATTAGCATACATAGATTAAGTCCCAATAAAATTATAAGCTACCAGAAATCAATTAATATTTACCATTTAATACCTAAAGAGTTAAACACTATTCATTGTTTGAACCCTTAAGTTTTAAAGGCTGTGGTACTAATTTTTCTATTAAATAAATGAGATTGTTCCTGGCATATAGTAAGTACTGGATGATAACTATAATTAACTAACAACAATAATAATGATGGTCAATGTTCTTTTTGTGCATGAGATGTGTGCTGAAATTTTTTTTTTTTTTGAGACAGAGTCTCACTTTGTTGCCCAGGCTAGAGTGAGTGCCGTGGCATCAGCCTAGCTCACAGCAACCTCAAACTCCTGGACTCAAGCAATCCTACTGCCTCAGCCTCCCGAGTAGCTGGGACTACAGGCGTGCACCACCATGCCCGCTATTTTTTTCTAAACTTAGTTGGCCAATTAATTTCTTCTATTTATAGTAGAAGACGGGTTCTCACTCATTGCCTCTCAGGCTGGTTTCGAACTCCTGACCTGGAGCATCCCGCCTGCCTCGGCCTCCCAGACGGCTGCAGGATTACAGGCGTGAGCCACCGCGCCCGGCCTGAAATTTTTAAAAGATTTCAAGGGAGGAAGTTGTCTTCTTGCTAATAAAGTCCAGCTAGGCATAGCACTAATTTGATGGATTCAGTGATTGTTTTTAATTTTCACCTCTAGAAATTGTCAATTTCTTACAGTCTCATTATCTAGTTCTAGGTAATTGTCTGAAGTCATCCAAATTCATAAGATCTTAAATTATATATTAAAAAAACACCTAAAAACAAACAGAAAATATACAGGTGTGGACATATCTTATGTGTAATCCCCCCAGATACCAGAATACCAGAAATGAATTGGTAACCTACAACAATGTGGTAATTATATAGTTAAAAACTTTATTGTAATTTATCTGTTTCCTTCACTAGACTGTTTCTTGAGGATAAGAACAGCCTTGCTCATCATTGCATACTTAGCATTGAATAGGTGCTGGCCCGTAGTAAGCGCTTAATAACTGTTGAATGAATGAATAATCAGAAAGTAGCTTGATGTAGATTTACTCTGAGCAAAAGAAGCCAGATACAAGGAAGGCTCTCCTGGCTCCATAAAGAACACAAGGCCTCTGTGACTGGGAGTGTCCATGTCCTTTGATCTCACTCTCTCTTATGATATAATCCTGGCAGATTTGTAGCCCTTCTTTCCCTAGATTCCATGCTAATCGGAGGTGTGTTTTTCATTTATCTTTATGTCAAAGAGCCAGCTTACCATACAGTGATTAAGCTATGGCTTTCATCAGATTCACTAGTTCTAAGAATATACTCTAGTGATTCCCAGATAACTTCAGTAGCAACCTTACAAACTAACATGTGCGGAGGATTTTTTCAGGTGACGTCTTTTATTTTGTCTTAGTAATATTAATTGATCCAGGCACTGTCCCAGGCACTGGAGACAGAGGTGACCAAGACAATTTCTGCCTTAAATAAGTTTATATCCTAGTGGGATAGACAGTAAGTATATGAGTAGACAAATGTGGTGATTTGTAATCATTTTTTTTTTTTCTGATCTTGTTGCCAGCTTGTTCTTGTCATTCAGAGGAAGCTGACTTCAGTGTACTTTAGGAAAATGAGCAGGGTTAGCAAATTACCATTTAAAAATTCAAATGCAATAGAGAAGCATACATTTCAAGTTTCACAATGTCGTTGGTCATTGCAGCATATAGCCAATAGCAAAGACTCTTTTACTAAGATATTATATTTTTCCTTAACTTTTATGGCATGTAACTCTGATTTCTTAATGTCTGGAAACCTCTTATATGAATGGATATTATTTGGAATAGATTTTAAAAGAATAAATGCTAAATGAAAGAGTAAATAGACTATAAGAGGGCTATATGGAAAGTATTCAGCCATGTAATATGAAAAATAGTAGAGACATTTATTGAAGAAGATACAAGACACAAGAAACATCATACATAAGGCAAGAACACCTCAGTCCTCTTCAAAGTAGGCATCTTGGGAACTCACACAGTTCTCCCAGCTTCTCTTAACATAATCCATACCCATTCAACGTTCTTAGGTGTTCTGCTTGTTGCGGGCCTTCCAGAATGTGGATCGCTTTCAACAGATTCTTGACCATCTTTAAAGTGTTTGTGCCACAATTTTATTTGCCCAGCACTCATTGCATTGTCCCTGAAAGCCTTCTGAATCATCTGAATAGTTTCTGTGGAGGAATGTTCAAGCTTAATGCAAAATTTGATGCACATTCGTTGCTCTAGTTGCTCAGTCATTTTGAATGTGACAGCCACACAGTGCACATGCTTACTCAATAGGATCTAGCACCCCCCTGACGAATACAGTGAAGTCATCATTGTTCACGAGTGCGCATTTCAGTCCAATCTCTTTGGCTGCCAGGTTACATGGATCTCCTGCAAATCATTCTCATTATATTAACTATGGCTGGATACTTTCCAGACAGCCCTCATATTTGCCAAACGTGATTCTGAAGAAATGATAACTCGTTTTGTAACATTAAATGAAGGCAATAATATTTATTTACTTATGTAAGTTGAAAAGTAAAGTGAATAATTTGACTCTTGAGGACACTAAATTAATTCTCATTAAAAATATTTTTTATTGCCATTATTCTTTTTATACTTAGTTTAGGTGTTTTGGTATAGGCTGTCTCAAAGTCATTAACAAATAAACCTTGATATTTTGACTTACTTTTTCTCACCTTATATTTCTTTGGAAGAAGACTGCTCCAAGAAAATGGTCTTCTCTGCAATTAGACATTTGCTGATCATAATCCCAGGTTGGATATTTCAGTTGAAAGATTCAAATGTGGAGTCCAAATATGTAAAGTGTAAGGCAATCCTAGTTGCTTGACTAAGCAGAGCTGTGATAATCTGGCTTTAAACCCTGGACTCAGAGCAGACTTTCCAGAGATCAATCATTATTCTTGGATGTTTCCCTAACAGTGTGTGTTTTTTTGTATCACTTTCTTTCTCCAGAGCCAGCTTGCTTGCATAGTTTCCCAAAGTCAATTCCACATTGATTACTCAAGCTCTCTAATCTGCTTTTTATCTGTGAAGGAATGACTTTATGGTTCAGCTCAGTTTTCATCCTGCAGCAGCAAGGAAAAACAAAACAACACAATAGAACTATTGATTGTTTTTCATTTGGAATGCCATTTCATTCATAACCTATACAGATTGTACAATGTATACAGACTATGGTGTCACTTATGGAAATGTGCCTTTTAAATTAATTTATCTGTGAATCACCTTGAAAGTATTTGTAAAAAGATAAATCAAATATTTCATTCATTCGTTCTTCAAATATTTATTGTGCATCTTCTCTGCTAAGTAATGGGAATAGTGGGGACCCAAACAGACAGTCTTTACTCTCATGAACATTATCCTATGGAAGAAGAAACAGTAAAATTATTCTGTTTTTCACAGAGTAACAGAAGAGCAAGCCCTAGAGTTTGATCTAAGTGGCTCTCTCCTCTCTTTTATTTTTTAGAATGCTTTGGAAATAGCTATCTTTACTTACTATAATGAAATCTGGATCCAAATAAATCTGAAGGAAGCCCCAACCATTCAACCTTCCAAACAATTTTTATTCTGTATGCTCACAATTTTTTCCTGGGCAGTTTTGAGAATTTTGGAAGTTAAGGATCACCCAATTCAATCTCCTAATTAAAAATAGACAGACAAACACAAATACGGACAAGGGAGCTGAAACCCAGAGAGGCTTAAGGGAGTTTTTGAAAGATCACATAATTTAGCCGCTGCACTGGGTCTGTACCCAGGTCTGCTGATTCCAGTCACTGCAGCAACTTGTAATCACCGATGTTCAGCTTCATCTGAGTCAAACTGAGTAAGGAAGAAGTGAGTTCAGCTGTACTGGTCAATGCAGATGGCAGTCTGGACCATTCCTTCTCCTACAGTATAGCTCAGGGAGAGGTGTGCCTTAGGCAAATATATTATCTTTTCTGGTTTTTTTTCCTCCTTGCTTTGTGTAGATAACTGCATGTGATAATTTTTAACATCTTATATAAGGCAGGTCATTCTTGACAAATTTTGCAACAGAGTTTATAGGGCATCTCTGAAGAGGAGGGTAATTTAAATTAAACTATTGTTAAAGCCGCTGTCTCACCAATCTAACACTTAATTCTGTTGGGTGCTACTGGAAGTTTAGTAATACTTATGGTATATCCAGCATCCAGCACTTCTCCTCCCATATCCTTTAAACATGCTCAACAGACAGACGGTTTAGGACTATGTTTTCTATTAAGAAGCTTTTCTAGATACTTAAGATATTATTCTATTGTCACTGTTTTAGAGATCATATTTATTAAGGGAAAGTACTAAAATGTGCTTTGCCAAATTGACGAAGATATGATAGATTTTTTAAAAGGTTAATTTTGTCTTATATTTCATATTTCCCCAAGAATATAGAATTTAAGTACAAAAGATGTGCTCGCTTGGCCAATTTTTATAGTAATAATAACAATTATAAGATAATATTTAATAGTAATAGGTAACATGTCCATGATGCTGATTGTGTGTCCGGCAGTGAAAAGTGCTTTGTGTTTAATTTTTCTTCTATTTTCATGACAGCATTAGGAAGAGGTCCCATTACTGTGTTCAGTTTTTAGACATGGAAGCTATCACATGGAATTAGTTTGTCCAGGATCACACAGTTGGTAAAAGAGAGCGTGAGGGTGGCGTGTAGTAGTTCACTCCTGTAATCCTAACACTATGAGAGGCTGAGGTGGGAGGATCACTCAAGGCCAGGAGTTTGAGACCAACCTGAGCAACATAGTGAGACCATGTCTCCACAAAAAAATACAAAAATCAGCCAGGTGTGGTAGTGTGCACCTATAGTCCCAGCTACATGGAGGCTGAGGCAGGAGGATTGCTTGAGCCCAGGAGTTTGAGGTTGCAGAGCGAAACTGTTTCAAAAAAAAAAAAAAAAGAGCCAGAATGCAGGTCTTCTACTGTGTTTCCTCAAAAATAAGACAGAGTCTTATATTTATTTTTCCTAAAGAAGACACCCTAGGGCGTATTTTCAGGGGATGTGTTATTTTCCCCCCAAAAGCATCAGCTTGCAGCACGCACAGGATGGCCGGGACCTGACAGGGGGAGCTGACCTTGTTGGTGGGGCTGCCCGCACCTTTCCGGTCACCTCTGGGATAGTAGCTGTCACGATGGGGCAGATGAGAAGGGCTGCTCATCTTCTTTACCGCTGTGCAATGAAATGCACACACTGCGTAGCCACGCCCATCACTAGGTCTTATTTTCGGGGTAGGGCTTATATTGTGCAAATGCTTAGAAATCTTGCTAGGGCTTATTTTATGTGTAGGTCTTATTTTCAGGGAACCACAATAATTGCTTAAGCCTTTACCCTAACCATAATGCTGCACTGATCTATCAAGCTCAAACTGGACCTTTTTGCACATCCTTATTCAGAGAGGCCGGCTTATCCTCGGGGCAGTTCCTTGCCTTTCAGAATTTCTAATTTCTTCTACTTTTTGAACCAGTGTGTCTGCTGTGATTTCCCAGGTGTTCCATAAAAGTCTGTATTTTGTGGGCTCTCTAACCTTTTAAAATGTTTTGTTTTCACTTCACACATATCTAAATGTTGTATCCTTTCCAGCAAACCAAATGACACATTTGTAAAGAATCCTTTGGAGGACAGGGACGTATAGAGTAATTCAGGGAGATATTGCAGGTTGCGGCAGCATATGTAAATATTATTTTCTTGCTGACGATTTAAAATCTGTTGGTGTTTAGTCCTGCGTGGGGGTCCTCTCACTGGAAGCTACAGGCTACGGCAGTTTCACCTTCACTGGGGGTGCGCTGATGACCACGGCTCCGAGCACACAGTGGATGGAATGAAGTACGCTGCAGAGGTGAGCCATCAGCCATGTCTCAGACTCAGGGGTTTCCTGTGGGGTGAGATTGAAGGGGTGTCAGGGACAACTTTCTTGACCCAAAATAGATCCCAAGCCAATTAGGTATCTCAATGTCTGAAATTGCTTTATTCATTCAACACTAGAGTTTATAAATATGAGACACTTCAAATGTTGCCCTTCTAAGCATTAAGGTAACCCTGGGAATTTCGGATTGTATGTTCCCATGTTAGAAATGAGTAAACTGGAGACTGGAGAGTTTAACTAATTGATCCAGCTAGGAAACATTGAGATAGGTTTAAACCCAGCTTTGTCTGATATCAAATTACAAATTCTTTCTACCTATCTCTTGTATCTCTTGAAAGGCCAGTGAGAAGGGAGAGAAAGAAACATTTGTTTTTTAAGTCCAACTGTGTTCATATTTGGGTCAGATACAAACATATACTAATATGGAAAGCCCACTTTTAAATAGGCTATAGGAAATGGCAACATTCCACTTAGCGAAAAAATATAAAGACACAAACTCTCCTAAACTCTACATTACCTCTGTGTTTCCAAGCATAAAATAGAACCTCTGTTAATTATTCAGGTCATTGGTAAAACATAACACAATAAAGCATTCATTGACTTATTCTCACTCCCCACTGGGAAGTTAGTCCTTTTTCTTTATAGTTATATTTATTAATAATACTCTGCTTTTTCTAATCCTCTGCTTAAAGAGCAAAGTGTAATATGCTTCAAGTTTTAATATGATTAAATATTACTAACACCCAACTTAACCATGAGATGAAAGCGCATTATTGGATGACTAAACCAAAACTATTCAAGTGAAAATAATTCGGCTTGTGAGTCAGCTAGGCAAGACAGAGCAATGTTACCAGGCAAGCACAGTTTTTCTTCATGTTTTCATGGTCACTGAGCTGTGGAGTTTGGATGTACCTGGGTAGCCCTGCTGTTCAGACACATCTAGCAAACAACTTTTTTGCAGTTTCACTCTTCCATTAACATGTGCATCTGCCCTTGAGGCTATTATCCAAAATGTCTGTTTTGCCAACTAAATCGCTTTTGTTTGAAGCCAAGTGCCTTAGGGCACGACACCTGCTCTGTCCTCAGGGTAGAGGAATAAAATGTACATACACACTGTTCTACAGTGATGGACAAAAGATGCCAAGAATGGAGAAAGTGGGATTCCTGAATGTGTAGGATGTGTCAGTTTAGATCATCTGCAGAATAGTTTTCCTGTTTGCTTTCTAAAGTTTTATGTTCCAAATTTAACATATTGTCCTAACTCTTGAAATCTCCCTGGAGGTTAATTGTTGGCTGCTTTGGATCACTGGTCTCTAATTTTCCTTTGCAGCTCAGGGAAATTGATCACATTGCTTTCTGCTTGCACCTTGTCCTTTCATACACTTGAAAGTATGATCTACTCTCAGAGAGGTTTACTGCCAAGTTGGCAAGTAGTGTCTTGATAAGGGCCCTCATATCCTGAGGCTCAGAGTCCTGACCTGAAGCTTAAGGGCTATCTTTGTAGATAAAGCTTTGTGGATAAAGGTTTGACTGGAATTTCATAATGTTGTTAAGTATGCATCTAAGGCTATTTGTTATTCCATTGATTCATATATTCATTCCCTCTGTAAGAATTTATTGAGACCCAACTATACCTCTTTGCACAGCGAACTCATGTTTATCCTGAAGGGAGTGCTGGAAAGAAGTAGTGATGCCCCAGGTCCCATAACATGCAGCCTAAACCAAACTGGGGGCAAAACCTTCCCGGGGCAAAAGCCCTTAAACGGAAAACCGAAAGAAGAAAAAGAAGGAACCAAGCCAAAGGGAGACACAGCAGTGCTTTTGCATGGAATCACATGTGAGGACTTGGGGTGGGAAAGAGCCTCATATGTTTGAAGACAGAATGGCTTGTGTGATCAGAGCAGGGAGAATGAAGGGGAGAGTTGTCAGAGGCGGAGTCCGAGAGGCTGAGTAGGGCCGGGTCTTACTGAGGTAAGATGTGATAAGGATTATCAACTTGATTCTAAGTTCAATGGGAAGCCACCGAACAGCTTTGATTCGGGAAGTGGTCATATTTTCATTTCGAAAATAGCATGCAAGCTCCAGTTTGAGAATAGATTGGATTGAAGCGAGAGTGGCTAAGGAGAGCTTTTGAGGAGGTTTTTGGAGAAGTTCCAGGCAATATATGATGGTGCAGGTGGAGGGCTGGCTGGAAGTGCGAGCTCCAGTGGGGTTTGTTGATTGATTTGGTTTGAGGGTGAGAGAGGGTAGGGGCCCGTGTTTCTAGTTTTGAGATAGGAAATGCTGTTTGAGAAAGTCTGAGTCAAACCTCAGGGTTGCTGGGGTGCGAGATGGACAATAAACAAATAAATAAATGGTACGTAGTGAGTTCTTTGATGAGAACAATACCATGTGGTCTAGATGAGGGACTTGAGTGGTTAGGAAAGGCCTCTTTGAGATGTTAGTTGAAGTGAGATGGAATAACAAGAAGAAAACACTATGAGAAAATCTAGAGATTTTCTAGAGAGAGGTTTCCAGGAAGTGGGAACAGCAAGTCCAAATGCTCTGAGGTAGGAATGAGGTTGGCATGTTCAAGAAGAGGAAGACACTGGCCTATAGGATTGGAATTAATGAGAAGGGCAAAGTCATGGGCTATGTCCCAGAGAGGCAGACAGTGGCCACACCACAATGAGTGTTCTTGGGCAGGGTGAGCAGTTTGGAATTTATCTTTAATGTAATGGTTAGAAGATAATAAAAAGTTTTGAGCAGGGGAATGACACACTCTGCTCTATATTTTATAAAATATAACTGGCTACTATGTGGACAGGAGGCTGTTGGGCAAATATTGAAGCAGGGAGATAAATTAGAAGGTTATGGAAGTAGTTGAAGTGAGTAATAATGGTAATTTTGACTCTGGGGGTGGTGGAAATGATGAGAGTTGGATAGATCCATGATATGTCTGGGAGGTAAAGTCCGTGGGACTTGTGGATAAATAGGATGTTGTAACTGAAGGAAGGAAAAAGAGGAGTCTAGAAACACTGTCAAGGCTTTGGCTTAAGCAACCCGGAGCCTGGTTTTAGTAATGCCATTTACTGAGATGTGCAAGCCCAGGAAGGAGCAGGTGGAAGAGGGGAATTAACTTTGTGTTTTAGACGTGTTAAGTTTGAGATGCCTTATAGGCATTCTAGGCTCATGTTCAAGTAGACTGTTGGATACAAACCTGGAGTTTAAAGAAGAGGGCAGGGCTGGAGATGGTGGCATTTGGGAGTCACTTGCATTTGGTTTCAGGTTCAAAAGAATCCGTTTGTGTTCAGCTCTAGAAACGATTCCAAGGGGTTAAATTAGTTTTTCCATACACTTTTGTAGTAAGTTCAAGACTATCATCAAGTTATTTCCTTATAAAATTTTTTTTAAAAGAAGGAAAGAAATGGAAGAAAAAAACTATTTAAAACTGCAATATATAAAAATTTAATTTGGGGCGTAATATGATGATTTGTGACATTACAGAGAGAAATTAAAGTGATTAATTATCCCCAAAGCATCTAAAAAAACTGGGCTAATCCATTCTGTGTTTGGAACTTTATGTGATTATAGTTAATACAGAATATATAATAAGCATTTTAAAATATGTAGTTAATCATGAAACTGTGATTTCAACACTCATGGTGGATTTTTGGCTTAGTATTTGGCAGTATATTTTACATACCACTAATATGCAGTTTAAAACTCAAAAGTTGAATAAAATTATTATTTAGAAATTATTTTCCACTAGAGAAGACTCTTATAATTTCTGTTTTTGCAGTGGCTACAACTTCATATTATTCAGCTTCAAATCATTGCTGTTGTCATTATTAGTCAGGAAATATGTTTGCTATTTTTTTTAAGTTTTAATTCAAATATTAATACAAATGCTAAAAAAGTGATATCACTTCCTCTGTGAAGGTATTGCTGCCAGTGAAACAAGGTATATTAAAACAAAAAAAGATTTTCTTGTTCTAGTTTCCCATCACATTTTATATGGTCACTGTATTTTTTAATTAGCAGGAGATGGTTACATATAGGAGATATATATATATATATATATATGTATATATAATATATGTGTGTGTATATATATTTTCATCTCTCTTTAGTTACACATTCATTTTCTAACCTGTCATGGTTGTGACCCTAAAAAAGTCACTTCACATCTTTCTATCTCTTTGGTGTCATCTCTTACCAAGTGAGCTGATGCATTGGCACAGAGCCACTTAAAACAACCTTAACATTTTTATCAGCCCTTCCCTGACAGTGTAGCATCATCTATTGCATGTGAGCCAGATGAATTATGTTTTCAGGTTTCTTTCCTCCCCCAGCTATCTCACACCACCTTGGAACTCGGCACTACAGGAATCTGCTTTTGCCTTTTCTGTCTGGATAGCTTACAATTTTCCTTGATTGTTTGTGGATGGTACACTGTTTTATAGTTTTGTGGTTGACTGTTTATGCCAATTCTTATCTATCCATAAATCCTCTCGTATTAGTTGCCTGGTAGAGTTATATTTAAAGGATGGGATAAAAACCTGTATTTGAATATACTAAATTCTCTCTGTAACACTCGGCTAACAGGGTGGTTTGGGTGTGAAGACCCACATAAGTGTTTCATTCCTGAGGTGCCAAGAAGATTCATTAGAAGAAGAGCTTATCTGAAGTCAGGCCCTCATATCAGGTCCTTGGACAGCATGGCCTGGCCTTCACTGTTTATGATCATAGCTACATCCTTTGGGTGTGTCACAGTGCCCTTTGGTTTCTATCTCAGTTTGTCCTTCCCTTAATCAGGACTGAAGAGTCTCCAAAAGTGATTTTCTACTTCATTGTTATTTTATGATCTTTCCCATTTGTTCATATGTTTGGAATCCTGCATTGTTAACAATGGTAGAATATTTAGGACACCTTTGGGTTTTGCATAAGGCTACTTGAGTGTAGATAGAGTTGAGAAGTAGGTGAAGTCTCTTTTCTAGAGTTTCAGGTCTCTCCAACTCCTTTTCTTCCCACTTCTTTCCCTTTACCCCTCCTCAGTAACACCGAGTGCCCCCTAATGTTTTCTTCAGACAACTCTGGTTCCTACACCCCAAAGCCTCTTTTTCCTCCTTAAAACTTGCTCTCAGAAAAGGGTCTGAACATAATCATAGAAGGTAGTCAATGTATAAAAAATGATAAGCCAGTGAGGTAATGGCTATGTTAATTAACTTGATGAATCATTCCACATTGTATACATATATCAAAGCATTACATTGTGCCCCATACATGTATTCAATTATGATATGGCAATTAAAATTAATCTTAATAATAAAAAGTGTGAGTACTGCTTAAAATAGTTACTCATGAGGACAGTTTGTATTTTCAAGCCATAAAAAGTCTTCAACCGTAGTGGTAAATACCTAACTGGGCAGTGCCAGGAACAGCCACACTGTCCTTGGCAGTGGGATTGTCCCTGAGAACCTGTCGTGCAGGAGGTTGACTTCTCCACCCGCCTGCGAGCCCAGGTCCTTTCCGTGGGCTCTGCTGCTGGCTGAAATCACATGTCAGGCTGCTCCATTGCAGTCGCATCTGTGGAAGACACGGAGGAGCCCCAGGTTACTTGGGAGCAGTGGTGGGAGTTTGCTAGGGCCAGCAGGGCTAAGGATGCTCAGGGCATTCTAAATAGTCCTCACTATATTGCACCACAGACTAGGTTAGTGATATTAATCCTTCAGTGCTTGAACTTTGTTTTTGGGCAAAAGTAAATAAGAAGATTCTGTCCAAAGTTCTTGTGAAGAATATATTATACATATCCCTATGGGTGTACAGCCTGCATAAATGTTTTATTTGCATTTATGTTTTTCAGGATGTCTAAAAAGCATTTGAACCATGTTGTGTATCTCCTTTTCAGCTCCATGTTGTCCATTGGAATTCTGACAAATACCCCAGCTTTGTCGAGGCAGCTCATGAGCCAGATGGACTAGCTGTCTTGGGAGTATTTTTACAGGTGAGAGTGCATTGATTTCATAATCAGCCAGGTTGGATAGAGAGTTTCTCAGTCGTGGAGAAGACATTCAACCATTTTAAATAGTAAACTAATTCTAGGTTTACTATTCCTTTTGAAATATATGTATGTCTAGGAGCATTGCTCATGATTCTTCTCATTGTCCCTTGGTCAACAAAGAGAATAGCAGCAGAAATAACACTTGAGTTCCTGAGAAGAAAAAGTTTATTCTGGGCTGTTCCTGATTACACACTATTTAGAGATGTAGGAGCTAATAAAGTTCAAGTTCCTGATTCTTGAAGCACTTGTCTGACCACAATGGCATGTTGTCCCAATGTACTGACCAATTTTTAACACATTAGCTGCCATGAGAACTGTATTTAACTCACTCTAGTTTTGATCCGGGGGCTGCATGAAACATATATAAAATCTTACTTGTTGATGTTCTTAAATGGATGTTGTATTAAATGTATAGAAGTCAATAAATTTCATTTTTTTTTCTTTTTCATAAACATACAGAACAGGAAAAAGAGATTTTTTCTATTTATAGTCTCGCTCTTGCTCAGGCTGGTTTCAAACTCCTGACCTTGAGCGATCCACCCACCTGGGCCTCCCAGAGTGCTAGGATTACAGGCGTGAGCCACCGCGCCCGGCCAAGAATAAATTTCATTTTTTCTATTTATATTATTCTTTAAATTACACTTGAAGTTTTTATTCTATTTTCATAATATGAACACTGGCCCCAAGGAAAAGTTTCTGATTTTTTTTTGTGTGTGGCAGTCAATGTGTTAAAAAAATTTTGTTGTAGTCTCCCTTGTCTACTATTTGCATGTGGTCAGGCAAGTATTGTCATCATACCTGGGGACGGGTTGGGCCTCTCAACTCCCACTGCCACCACATTCTTGTAGGGTGTGCACCGTTGCCACACCACATATCTGCATGTGAGGTGGTAACTTGTGGGGCTGAGGTTAGGGGAGCATGTGAGAGAGCCATAGATGGCAGCAGTTCTTGGCCACCAAGTCTGTATGGTGGCAGCTGTTTCTAGGTGTGGCAAGAGACTACACCTTAATCCTGAAGGGTTTAAAACCTTCAGGTAGATTCAGAACACCCCTAAAGGTGCCTCAAATCACTTTAGGCAGCAAGTAGGAGATGTTTTCATCTAATAGTTTGTTGCCATCATGGTCAGTTTGGATCTAGGGTCTGAATACCACATCTGGCTTAATTGTGCAGATATTTCATTAGAGTTTCCCAATCAGAGTTTCTCTCAAGTTAACCTGTATCTTAAAACTGGAAAACATGTGAAGCTATTACTACTAGTTTTAGAACCAACCCGAAAGTTCAGTACAGAAACCTTGTAATATTATCTTGTTGCTCAGATTCTTCTGGTGTGATAAGGCCAGCAGGTGAAAGAGAAGCTTTGTTATAGAACAATCACTGTATGTTCTGTGCTGGCTTAGGTTTTTTAAAAAAATAACTTAAAAATAGTGGCCGAAATGGAGTGATTTGGACTTGATCTGTTACAGTCACCATTTCTTTTGAAATTTCACATTTTTAGATTGGTGAACATAATTCCCAACTGCAAAAGATTACTGACATTTTGGATTCCATTAAAGAAAAGGTAAAATGAATTACTATTTGCTAATGATTAACATATTTCCTTGTTCTCCCCTGAACTCTGTTATCTTTCTTTTTGAGGCTTAGACCTTAGACATAGCATATGCTGCCTTTTTATAAGCCAAGGTTTGCCAACGATACTGACCAACAAAAGCAGATGTGACATATTACCATTCATCTTTGAAAATTATGAAAGGGCCTTAAGTTATTTAAAATAATCACTAATAAATCTATTTATGCCTAATTATTTCTGGTATTGTTGTCTTATAGAATAAGCCCTTAATCAATAAATGTTATAAAGACCACCTCTATTTAAACAAATCTCTTGCTTCTTAAATAAATCTGTATGATGTGCTACTTGTGTCAAAATTTTTAAGATCAAGAAAGCTGCTTTTTTTTAGATACTAAAGGAGGATACTAAATAATTCCATATATTTTATTGGTTGGTGTGTTTTGAGGCTGTGAAAAGCTATCCCCATTGTAATGTGCAGGAACTCTCTTTGTTCCCCCAGGGTAAACAAACTCGATTCACAAATTTTGACCCATTGTCTCTGCTTCCACCATCCTGGGACTACTGGACATACCCTGGTTCTCTTACAGTTCCACCTCTTCTCGAGAGTGTCACATGGATTATTTTAAAACACCTATAAACATCAGCTCTCAACAGGTATATAACCCTCCTCTTCCAAGTTGATCCTGATTCACTGAGAGTAAACTGAGCTGAGTCTTTCTTTCTTTTAAGCTCTGCTCTTCATTTCTTCTCTCATATTTTGAAGCCTGTGTTTCCCTTCATTAATTAGATGGTTTTATGTCCCTTTCTTATTTGACTTCTATGATTTTAGATTATTTCTTTCCCACTTTTTAGAAACTGTAATGTACACGGTGACACTGATGAAAGTGAAGCATCATTTTAAGCATGCTTTGCTTTTGTTTAGTCTGGGATATAAACAGTCTGGGATACAAACAAGGAAATCAAGAGAGAGGCTACTCAAAGAAGGCGTCATTCTCCTGTCTGACCTCAGTCCCTGCACCGTTTCTCCCACGGATTCAAAGTGAACCCCGAGAACAGTGATAGGTGCAGCGCCCTGAGAAACGTGAAATTGCCTGCTAAATTGAAGAAGAGGTCACATTGTGCACTTAAAATTTGTTAAAAGAGTAGGTCTTATGTTAAGTGTTCTCCATACAATTATATATTCTCCAGCAAACTGGTATTAACTGAGTAGCACCTAAGTAGACACATAGGTGCTACAGTAATAGGGTATTGGGCAGGTGGGAGGGGGGGAGGGGGCGGTATATACATACATAGTGGTGAGATGTGCACCATCTGGGGGATGTCATGATGGAGACTCCAGACTTTTGGGGGGAGGGGGGAATGGGCATTTATTGAAACCTTAAATCTGTACCCCATATGCCAAAATAAAAAAAAAAAAAAAAAAAAAAAAAGAAGAAGGAGGAGGAGAGGGAGAAGGAGACAGGGAGAAGAGTGGGAGGAAGAGAGAAGTTGTTGATCTTGTGGTTTTGTGACAACACTTTTGTGCAGCTGCCTGAGGGGTTTTAAGCATTTGCTGAGAGGCTTGTGGGGTAGCTACCTGTGTTCTTCTTATGGAGACTTTACTCACTCATTTTTCTGTTAAGTGCATGTTGAGCTCCCATGGTAGGCAAAAATTCTGGTAGATCAGGATATCCTGTCTTTAACACCCAGAAACTCTGCTTGGAGCTCTGAACCATGTGGCTGCCCAATCTGACAGGTGGATGCTGTGTGTTCCAGGATGTTTTGCTTCTTAGTGGATTTTGTTTTGTTGTGTTTTTCTTTTGTGTCCTTTTTGAATCAGGTGTTGCAGTACCTTAGCATGAACATAGTCTAGTAATTTTTCCAGTTTATAAATTAGTCCTATTCTGGGCTTGCCCACCTGTCTAGCTGTCCCCCCCACCCCACCGCATTGGACTAGATCTGGTTCGCCTTTACTGAGACCGTTCATTTCAAGCTACCTTTCCCCCTGGGTAGCTTTCTGTTGTTCTCATCCAACTTTCTGTTGGGTGTTTCTCCTCATTGACCTTGTCTTTAGGATTAAAACAAATAATAACCTGATGCTTATTTTATTAAAACATTTTATAAAAGTCCTAGCTAGAAATCCAGAGCTTGACTGACATGAAAACTCCTGTGAATTTTTTCCATCATCTTATCATGACAAAAATGACCTACCACTGATTCAATAGCCTTATTAAGAGAGTTCATTTTTCTCCTCTTCACACGCTAAGCTGTTTACTCTTTGATAAATTTAAACGGTTAATATTAAGAATTAGTAAATTAAACCTCAAGGCAGAAAATAATAAAGGGATCATGTTTTCCCTCATATTTCAAGGATATCTTTATTCCTTAAAGGCACTTGGAAAATAACTTTTTATTTTGTTTAGTTTTTTTTGTTTTTCAATCTGTTGGTGATTTGGAAGAGAATATATCAAAATATATACTTCAGTTCCTTAAAAAGAATAAAGTTAATTTTATTAAAAATAACTTCCTGCAAATTTAGGAATTATACTGCCTAGCTATGGATTTGCTACTTTATCTTATTTGAGGCTCAATGAATTAATATTTTTAATGTGTCTTTTAGGCAGTAGAGTATTATAAAATAATAGCTGGGTTTTTCAAGCTATAGTGTGATTGTTAATTCACATTGAAGCATTCACTTAAATCTACTGTAGCAAGAAAACTTTCAGTCATTTTAATTTTTAGCAAGATTGAGGAAGTTATTTGGGTAATAATTCAAGTTATTATAATTGATATTATGGTGGTTTTAAATGTTAAGCCAAAGATATTTTAAAAATCTGATCCTAATCTAACCATGAGAAAAACATCTGACAGAGCTCAATTGAGGGACATTCTACAAAATACCTAATCATTACTGTCAAGGTCATCAAAACTGTAAGGTCATTTAAAACAAGGTAAGTGTGAGAAACTGTCACAATCAAAAAATGCCTAAGGCAATAGGACCACTTAATGTAATATTGTTTCCTGGATAGTATCCTGGGACAGAAAAAGACATTAGGTAAAAACAAGGAAATCTGAATAAAGGAAGGACTTTAGTTAATGATAAAATATTAGTATTGGTTCATTAATCATGGAAAAAGTACCATACTAATAGAAGATGTTACTAATAATGGAAACTGAGTGTGGGGTATATGGGAAGTATTTGTAGTATCTTTGCAATAATTTTATAAATCTAAAATTATTCTAAAATAAAAAGTTTATCTAAAAAATCCAAAACACAAGCAGGTTGATAAAATTATTCAGTTGCTTAGCTCTTTCATGTATAGTAAAATGAGAATTTTTTTCATACACCACTAATTTAAAGAGTTACTTTCCAAAACATAATTTTTAATCTGAATTTTGGCAGCTCTTTTAGTCACTTAGAAACAAATGTTTTTATTCACTTTCCCATTCCATCATATAATGTCACTAGCTGTGAAGAATAAATCCTCTTTTTAATGAGTAAGAGCCAAATATTTTTCTAGGGTCTTCTACTGCTATTTCTTGCCAAGACACTGTTTGACCCAAGGGGCAAATCAGATGTTTTCATTTTCTTTTTCTTGATTCAAATCCATTTTTCTTCCTCAAGGTCACTTACTGAGGACTAAATTCTTGATTTAAGTGCCATGCCATTGAGCAGGTAGATAAACTGCTTTCCGATACTTCTAGGTTTGTTGTTGTTGTTGTTTTGTTTTGTTTTTTGAGACAGGGTCTCGCTCTGTCACGCAGGCTAGAGTGCAGTGGCATCATCATAGCTCACTGCAACCTCAAACTCCTGGGCTCAAATGATCTTTTTGCCTCAGCTTTCTGAGTAGCTGGGACTACAGGCATGCACCACCATACCTGGCTAATTTTTCTACTTTTTTGTAGAGAAGGGAGCTCACTATGTTGCCCAGGCTGGTCTTAAACAATCCTCCCACTTCTACCTCCCAAAGTGCTGGGATTAAGCAATGTGAGCAACCATGCCCAGCCTTTGCTTTCTGATACTTTTGAGAACAGATCTGTCATTTTCTTTTGAAAGCTGACTTTTCTTGCCAAGTCTCTTTGGATTATCTTAAGTCATCTAAGTTGACTTACTCAGCTGCTGAAATTCAATAAGCAAAATGCTTGGCATTGATTCAATTCTCCTTTTAGAAAAATCCTCTTTTTTGTTTATTATGATGTAATTTGCATACAATAAAACTCACAAATTTTAAATGTTCATTTGCTGATTTTGGTGATTGTATATAACCATGTAACAACCACCGTAATCAAGATACGGAATAGATCCCTTAGCCAGAAAAGTTCCCTTGTGTACTTTTGCGTTCCTTCCCCTTCCCCACCATAGCCTTGAGCAACCACTGACATACTGTCACCAGAATTTTGCCTTTTCTAGAATCTTATTTAAATGTATCATATAGTACATAGATTTTCATGTTTGATTTCTTTTACTTAGCATAATGTTTTTAAGATTTGCCCATTTCATTTATTTTTATTACTCAGTAATATTCCATGATATGAATATATCACATTAAAAATTTTTTTATTGAGCAATTGATGAACATTTGAGTTGCTTTTAGTTTTTGGCTATTATAAATAATAGCTATCCTTATTTGGATATTAGGAGTAATTGACAGACACTTTTGTGTGGACACATTTTCATATGTCTTGGGTCAATAACTAGGACTGGAATTACTAGGTCATGCTTGTTTGATTTTATAAGGCATTGCACTATTATATTCTAAAGTGGCTGTACCATCTTGCATTCCCATCAGCAATGTATATGGTTTCTAGTTACTGTATATTCCTGCCAGCGTTTGGTATTGTCAGTTTTTCTAACTTGAGCTATTCTAGTGGGTATGTGTGGTTTTAATTTGATTTTCATCTTATGACTATGCTGGTGAACATTTTTCATATGCTCACTGGCTGTGCATGTATCATCTTCTGTGAAGTATCTGTTCAAATCATTTCCCCCTTCATTAATTGGGTTGTTTGTCTTTTCACTATTGGGTTGCAAGCGTTCTTTACGTAGTCTGGATAACAGCTCTTTCTCGGATACATTATTTGTAAAAGTTTTCTCTCAGTGTATGTTTTTGTTGTTGCTGCTGTTTAACTATGTCTTTTAAAAAACAAAAGTTCTTAATCTTAATGAAATATATTTTACCAATTAATATTTTGAAGTTTGTGTTTTTGGTGTACTGTTTAAGAATTCTTTAACAATACGTCACAATGAGGTCTTTTTCCTACTTTAAGTAATAGATTTAGCTCTTACATTTTAAGTCTTTGATTACTTTTGTGTTAATTTTTTGTGTATGGTGTATCCCTTTCTTTTCTTTTGGTATTCCAGTTACACATACAATAGACCTGTCAATATTATCCAACGGATCCCTGAGGCTCTACTTTTTAAAAAACTTGTTTTTAATCTCTGCTCTTTACCATGGATAATTTTTGTTGATATGTATTCAAATTCATCTGCTTTTTCTTCTGTCATGTCAATTTGGTTAAGTCCATCCAGTGAATTTTTTATTTTAGAAATGACTTTTTTAGTTCTAAAATTTTATTTGGTTCTTTTGTATTATTTTTATTTCTCTGCTGAGATTCATTACTCTGCTGAAATTTCCCATGCATTAAAAAGATGCTTTGTTTGACTTCATATAACCCTCAGGTAGTTATAATAGCCACTTTAAAATTCTTGTAAGTTCCAGCACTTAGTTCATCTTAGGTTGGATTCTGTTGATTTTCCTTTCATTGAGAATGTACTCTATTTTCTTGATTCTCTATATGTTGAATAATTTTTTATTGTATTCTAGATGATGCGAACATTAAATCCTGGATTGTGTTATTTTTCTCTGATAAGTATTGTTTCTTTTGTTTTAGGAGGTAATTTTCTTGACTGGGCTTGAATTTCAAATTCATTTTTTTGTATCAAAGCTCTGGTCTCAGTTCAGCTGGTCTTCTTGGAGTCTTTTCCATGCATGCATGGTTCATGTGTCAGATTTGGGTAGAGAATTTGGAGATTCCATCTCCGATTCTTCCCTTCCAGAAAAGTGTGCCCCGTTGCAGCTGTGTGCCCTTTGTAGACCGCAGTCAACTCCAGGCTAAAAGCTGGAGAGATAGGAATTCACTTGTAGAGGTCCCATCTCTCCTCCTTCAAGTGAGCATGAATTCTCTACCTGAGTTCCTCTGCTTCTGTTCACTTTTCAGTAGCTGTAACTAGTTGCTTTTTGTAGTATGTCTGGGTTTACAGTTGCTTTCTACAGGGAGATCGCAGGATCTTAATCTGACATTCCTAGAAGCAAAACACAATTGTCTTTTTTTATATCAGAATTTTGTGTTTTGTTATTGTTGTAGTCCATTTGTGTCACTATAAAGCACTATAAAGGAATACCTGAGGCTGGGTAATTTATAAAGAAGAGAGGTTTATTTGGCTTTTGGTTCTGCAGACTGTACAAAAAGCATGGTGCCAGCATCTGCTTCTTATAGGGGGCTCAGTAAGATTCCACTCAGGAAGAGGAAGGGGAGCCAGAATGTGAAGATCACATGGAAAGAGAGGAGGCAAGAGAGGAGAGGGGGAGGTGCCAGGCTCTTTTAAAAACTCAATTCTTGCAGGAGTTGAGTGAGAACTTACTCAATCCTGGGAAAATAACAACAAGCCAGTCATGAGGGATCCACCTTCAACATTAGGATCAAATTTCAACATGAGACTTGGTGGGGCCAGACAAACCATATCCAAACCATAGGAATAATTAATTATAATTAATGTTCTAAGAATGATTTCCTTTATCTGCATCTCTAGACTATGTATGAGATGAAGAAAGAATTTGCTTACTTCGATGTTAATTTCAACTTAATATGTAAAGCTCTATATCATTAAATTTGAAATTGAAGTTCTAAATTGTAGAGGACTGTACAAGTCAATTCTACAATTGTTTACTAATTGCCAATTATTTGCAAGGCACAATGCAAGAGATACAAAGATATATAAAAAATGACCCTGGCCCTGAAAGTTTGTAATCCAATAGAGGGGATAAAATGAATGTGTAAAATCCATACACAATGGACTGTTCTTGGTACCATAAGAGGAAAACAAAGTATAACAGAAATTCAGAAGAGGAGAGACTATTTTTCACTGATGAAATGAGGAAAGACTTCATGGAAAACAACCACTGGGATGGTTAAAAGTTAAAAGGTGGCAACTGGTTGGAGTAGCAATGGAAAAGAAGGAATTTCAAGAAGGAACAGCATAAATAAGGGCAAGAAAGGGAAATGCAGAAAATATGTGGGCAACTTTGTACCTGTGGTACTCAAACTTTAGTGTGTCCAAGAACCACCTGGAGAAGCTTATCAAAATGTAGATATTTGGGTCTTACTAGAAATTCTGATTCAGAGGTCTATGGTAGGGTCCAGGAATCTGAATTTTTATGAATTAACCCAAAGTATTTTCATTCAGATGCTCTGACACTGCTCACAGAACTGGCTCAGAGTAAGACCAGTGTGGGGAAGTAATAGATCAATCTAGGAAGATTAGTTGGACTAGGGTAGTTGAGAAGACTGGAAGCCACAATAACGATTTTGTTGGGGTACATATTAAATTGTTAGAAATGTGATATATTTTTAGAGATATATTTTGAAATGTTTACACTGAAATGATATGATGCTTCAAATTTACTTCAAAATCTAGTCTGGGCAAGATGAGAAGTGGAGAGAGAGCTTGGGTGGGCATATGGATGAAAAATTGGCTGTGCGTTGATGATTGCTGAAGCTAGATGATGGATTCATGGTGGTTTATTACACAGCTCTTTCTACCTTTGTGTATGTTTGACTGCTTCAATAATAAAAAGTAAATAAAAAGAAATTAGGAGGATATGGGAATAACAGAAAACAAGTTAGAGATGCAGTATGTTCAGTGGTTAGTGCATTGTTTATTGGCCAGATAGCTTATTTATTGAAACTTCCTAGGTATCCCTCAAGTTTCCCATCTTACACATGGGATAATTGTATATTATTGATACGGTTATTTGGGGGATTAAATTCTGATGATGTAATCTAAAGCACTCAGCACAGTGTCTAGCCCTTCATGTTCCATTAGATAGAGCTTATTTTTATTATTACTCAACTTTGGCAGATGTGGAGTACTATTAAAGATGTTTGAGTATGAGGGTGACATAAAGCTGTTTACAGAACTGTTGTAAAAGAGTACTTCAGCTGACTGAGGTGACTACACAAGGAAATTAAAATTTTAGCATTAAAGCCAAGGAAACCAGCAAAACAGGTCATACCTACCTCAGCCTCAAAGCTGAACTGGGCATACTTCTGCCGGGAACCTGTAGCTGCTGAGTTAGCCTTAGTGACAGAGGGGCAGGTTTTCTGCCTGGACAAAACCTGGAACTGCATGAGGGGGTAAGACTGGTGGGGGCCAGCCAGGAATGTACATTTCAAGGCCAGTACAGTGGTAGGGGACACAAGATCCAAGAGACACCTGTGTAGGTACCGGCAGGTGCGGGGTCTACCAAGCTGGGCCAAATGATTGGAAGACCCAGAGTCATAAAGGGAAGGGGCTTGATGAGACATCAGGACAGGGTTAGGGACTCTCACCCAAATGAGCACGCTGAGCAGAGAAAGATCTAAAGTCACATGCAGTTCTAGACTGGTGAGGCCAAAGTGCTGCAGAGGCAGGGAGCCACGATCAGTTTCCAGAGGGGTTAAGTGGGGCCTGAGGCAGGTGTGGATGGCAAGTAAAGCCCAAGTCTTGAGAGGAATCAGTAGTATCACTGGAGAGGCAAACTGTGCTAGTTGAGACCTGTAAACCAGCACTCTGATTCAGGACTCAAGATTCCCACACAGCCACCTGGAATGGCTGCTCCAGACAGAACTGGATTATCATGATCTGCACAAGGCAGGGTGTCTTCCCTATGGCCCCAGAGCTTAGGTTTTATTAGCCTCTTCACCAGAAGTTCTCTTAGTCTCATCTGGTTTGAGCCATAATGATCTGGTCTCATGAAACGTAAGTAATGGTAAGTTGTAAACACTCGTCTCCTCCTTCCCATATCTGTACTCTTATTTTAAAAGACATCTCAAAATATTACTTGTGGAAATACATGGTTGCTTGTATATGATGGATAGTCCTATTTCTGTAAAGCTGGTTATAAACTGTTACCTGTTTATTATAAAGACCTCTCTCTCCTCTGCCTCCCATTTTGGTTAGTACTGTACAGGAAATATTTTAGGCCTCAGGTAAATGATGATGATGGAAACCCAAATGTTGTGTCTTAGTCTGAATTTGCTTGACTTTCGGATTAGATGATTAACAAAGTTTAAGGAATGGAGGTTCTCATTCCTAATAACAATTTGTCCTCATGAAAACAAAACAAAAACATAAAAAACGTACTGGTATTAATTGATGATATATTTTTGGATGAAATTTTTGAGAAGATGGAATTATTCAGGTTCTTTTTTGATCTTCATTTTACTACTGTAGACCTGACCTAAATCTTAACAAGTAATGTTAAACCACCAAGGAACTGTTAAAAATTTACAAAACTTACATATAAGAGAAAACTTTTTAGCAATTAAATAGTGATGTCGATGGATATTTATTGACATGCAGAGATATATCTGGTTTCAAAGCATGTATAGTTGAGCTCATTTTTGTAATAATACATGTCAGGTGTAGGGGTGTGTGTATGTGTGTGTGTGTGTGTGTATGTGTTTAGATTGAAAAACAACCTTTGATTTCTAGGTATTTACTGTTTAAACTACATTTTCGATGTTTCCTCTTAATTACTTTGATCTTCAAATGAAGAATGCTTATATACTTAATTTTGGAACCTATAGGTATTTGTACAGTGATGAGAATTTAGCAAATAGTTGCTTTATTATGTGTGACCCTTACCAGAAAATTTTCATTGCAATATTTTTAGTTCCTGGTTATAGACACAAAACTATGTTTCTGAATTTTTTTTATCCAGGGTAATTCATTAACATTGGTGTAAATTAGTTGACACTAACTCTTTTCTTTTCTTTGACAGCTGGCCAAATTTCGCAGTCTCTTGTGTACAGCGGAGGGGGAAACAGCGGCTTTTTTGTTGAGCAATCACCGTCCACCGCAGCCCCTGAAGGGCCGCAAAGTGAGAGCCTCTTTCCGTTAAAAGTTGTCACCAGTGGACCACCCCAAACATGACTGTGGAGAGCCAACAAAACAAAAAACAAAAGACAAAAACCCCTGCTAATAGTTTTTTCCCTAGAATTCGAATTTACGGGTACCATTTTACTATCAGCTTCAGTGCTACAAAGAAAACCAGGTCTCTTTAATGAAACTAACATCACTCCTTTGTCTCAGATTCGCATTCATGGATATTCAAGCAGTGAATGTTTTTTGACATTTATCCAAACTCATGAAATATGTGTACTTCCACCTGTGTGAAAAGATGGGCAGCATTGTAAACCTCACAATGTATCAAAATGTTTGCCTTGCCATAGAGACTGAATTAGTCACAGCTCTGAGTGGTGTTAGGTGAAAAACCTAAATTTATTTCCCAAATTATAGGATTGTGATAACTTTTTTGAAACAAGTGATCCTGCTTAATGTTTTGTTATTATTTCAATTCATAAGAAGGAGATAGTATTTCCTTTTAAAGTGAATGTTTGTGATGATTATGTTACGGATCCTCATTGGACGACACTTTTAATAAAATGAACAATATGAGCGTTATTGAGAAGGGGATATAGCTACTTAATGTGTCTACTCCACAGATCAAAAATAACCCATACAGTTTTGGTGAGGAATTCCTCAGGATATAAGTGTCAATTTACACTGTAGTGAATTACACCATATATCATATTCACTCAGTAATGTTAACAATTAACTGGCTAATAATTGACAAGACACATTGCATACCAGTTTATGGCCTTGACGTAGTTTGAAACTAACAGATTACGTAGTTTTACTGTAGGCAGAGCTGCCCTCAAGCATGGTGAACAGGTTGCCTATTTTTGCCCCGTGTTTTGGCAGCAGAGAAGGAAGTAATCCTGTGTGGGTCATTGTTCTGTCATTTGGTGGAAAAAAAAAAAATCACTTGAATTTCATATGAATATACAATCGGTCCATAAATCTGTCATCTCATTTCTATGGCAAAGCCCATTTCTCTTTTCGTACATGCCCTTCCATCTCTTAAGTAATTTTGCAAGGTGGTGCTTGATATTAATTTTAGGCTATGTCTTGTTATTTTTGTTTGCTTTTGGTGGAGGAGCATGGGGGTAAGGGTTCCTTTTGCCCTTTCTTCTACAAATGGAGTGACACTAAGCATTAACTGAACAACCACATTTAAGACTTGAACACGTGCTATGCTGCTGTCATCCTCTGACACAACTTTACCTGAGTTTCCTTGATTCTGATGGTTTATGTCAGACACCTCTCTTCCTCTGGATGTAGATTTTAATGATTGAAACTATTCTGCAACATTCTTCTTGATAGAATACCTGGGTATCAGTAAGTTGTGTAACAACGATGTACACTGTCGCGTAAGATGAGCTCCTGAAGAGTGAAGCTGATTCCTGGGCCGTTGTTCTTTTCCACCTCAGCATGTCTAGCATGCGGCCTTACAGAAGATTGATATGCAGTAATCATTTACAGAATTGAATGTTTTTAAAAATTTTATTTGCTATCTTTGCTAAATTATCTCTCTGCTTGGGATCAAGTGCATTATCAGCTGATGTAACAAGTAAAATGTTATCTCTTGAGAATAGTTTCTTTTTAAAGGAATGTTTATTATATCTAACTTGTATAGCCAGAAGTTCTAATGGTTTTAAAAATACCAGTGTTGAATGGAAAGGTGTTTTTTTTTTTTTTTTTTAGTTTGGGAAGACATGTTGTGAAGTGTCCTTATCAGGGGGAGAAGCCTGTTTTCTCAGAGAATGTAAATTGGTGTATCTGAAGAGTGTGTAGGACAGGGATTCTCATTACTGTGTGTGACAGTTCAACTTTGTAACTTACCGTTTGGTTTCTGCTGCAGTATTGCTACACATTGCACCTTAATGGACCCAAAAGGTCTACATAGTACTGATTTTTATGGACATTGTCTGTTAATATATATATCCCTTAGAGGCAAAAGGGCTAAGTGTATGATAAAATTGTTTTATTGCCCCCTTTTTAAAGAAATTAAAGAGTTGTAAATACTAGTATAGATCTCTTTTGTTTCCCACAACAAATATTGGATTTATGTTTGCTAAGCATTTTGTATAGACGCTATATTTCCCAATACTCAGGTGATCATTTCGCCCTGGACACTGTATCTTCCAGAACAACCCTGCTGGGGTGAAGGACATACTTATAGAAAGGGAGCAGAGGAGGCCAGGGTGGAGAGAAGGATCGAAAAGATGCTTGCAGTAAATAGTATTTGAAAAGGAAAATATACATTTTTTTTAAAAAAGAATATTTTAACAATGATTAAAGACATTTTAAGAGGGAAAATTATGTGAATTATGTATTCATAAATTTCCCAAAGGGGAAAAAGGAAGGGGCAGTGATTTGTTCCTCACTTTGAACACCAGATGGTGCTGTTGGACCAGATGAGCTGATCTGCACGCGGGGGCGTGGCCTGTTCACTGGGCGAATGGACAGTATGGCCATTATTTTACTCCCTCCCTGGTGCAAGACTTCAACCACTTTCAAAGGCTCCCTCTCCTCATTATCTCTAAATAATCCCAAGGTGTGTCCCATTTGTGCTCATGAGTAAGCTGTCAGCTCACTTGGTGTTTCATAATTTCTTCCCTTTGGTCCTCATCTCCCTCTGTCCCCCCGCCACCCCTCAGGGGCATCTCCTGGCCACCATGCCCTCTGGGTACCGCCTAAGCTTCTGGGCCCCATGCTGATGCCACTGGGTGGCCTTGCCTCTGCTGCTGCCAGGGAAAAGAAGGCAGAGGAAACATTCATTAGCAGTAAACATGTGCCATGCCCAGCCCTCTGCAGTCTGCCCCTAGTAAGGGGAAGTGGCCTCCGGTGAAAGCGAGTTTGGATTTAAATTTCCTGGGGGCAAGGCTGCTTTAGCGTTGGGTTACTCTTCACCTGTCCTTCTGTAAATATGCAGTTCTCACCTGAGTTTTCCGCAGAAGGGATAAAGTCTCATCTATGAGCATTGTTCTCCTATGCAAGAAGCATGGGCTAGCTCCAGGGTCTTCAAGCAGCTTTGATCTGTCTCTGGATTTCAAAGGCCCATTTATTAAAAGCTTTTTTATCAAAGGTTTTCTTACAAAGGGTCTGTGTGTTATTTTTATCCATCTTGTTCTTCCCTTTGGCATGCCCCATCTTTGTTGAGATTCTCAGGGAGGTTAGAAGGTTAACTGGGATTCATTCTTCATTCCTTATTCAACTCCGGGATTTCTGCTGCGTCAACACCACATCCCTGGGTTCAAGCCTCAGAGATTTCATTAAAAGCCATCTACTGCCTTCGCCAGTCTAGCTTTCCCCCTGTTGTCCCCTACATAATCTTTCCATCCATACACAGGTCTTGACTCCTTGGAGGGCCTTCCTAGAATTAGGGAAAGTAAAATACATATTTTTGTTCAAAGAAAATTATGGGAACATGATTAGAACTTTCTAGCCTTGGGTTTCTAGGCATCTCAGGTTACTACTTTATCAGTAAGAAAATAATTTGAGAAGCCTTTGGGATTTCCGGCCCTAATCACTCACAGCTGAGTCACCTTAGGCCAAATGTGAGCACTAGTCTCTGCATGTTTGTATTTTTTAAATTTTTATTTATTTATTTTTGAGACAGAGTCTCACTCTGTTGCCAGGCTTGAGGGCCGTTGCATCGGCCTAGCTCACAGCAACCTCAAACTCCTGGGCTCAAGCAGTCCTCCTGCGTCAGCCTCCCAAGTAGCCGGGACTACAGGTGTGCACCACCAGGCCTGGCTATTTTTTCTATTTTTAGTAGAGATGGGGTCTCGCTCTTGCTGGTCTCAAACTCCTGAGCTCAAGCGATCCTCCCACCTCAGCCTCCCAGCGTGCTAGGATTATAGGCATGAGCCACCATGCCTGGCCTCTTACATATTTTTATATCTGAGGTTAAGGGCCACGAAGTAAGAACTAGTTCTCCTCACAAGAATGGGGGATGAAGGGCAATAGCTTGTGAGCTTGGTAAGTTTCTTAACATCTCCAGGTCTTGCTATCTAATCCATAAAAAGAGAATAATAATACTGCTAACATAAATTTGTTGTTCATTTTACAAGAGATGAGGCACCTAAAGGAATCATCATGGTGCCTGGCACACTCAGTAAATGTGACCTGTTATTGTTGAAATGTGCACAGTCTGTCAACAAGGAAGATACAAGTACCTTGTTTCCCCGAAGAGAACACCTACCCATAAAATAAGCCCTAGCAGGATTTCTAAGCAATTGCGCAATATAAGCCCTACCCCGAAAATAAGACCTAGCGATGGGCGTGGCTACACAGCAAATCTGCACAACCTGTGCATTGCCTGGCAGAGTGGTGAAGAAGACGAGCAGCCCTTCTCATCTGCCCCATGAGAGCTCTATTGCTCCACATGAGGGATTGGGGCCAATGGTTCTAAAGGAGATAGAGTAGCAAGAAATTCAGGATGGAATTCGGGGTTTGGAGAGTTATGATGATGTTCCAGAAGAAGACGACTTAACTATATTTGAATAAATGTAGATTGTTGTACCGTACTTAAAAAAAAAAATAAACACATCCCCTGAAAATAAGCCTTAGGGTGTCTTCTTGAGGAAAAATAAATATAAGACCCTGTCTTATTTTCGGTGAAACACAATAGGAACAATCTAGGAGTTTCAGATTCCATTTTAGGTTCAGACACTAGATGTCACTGTTGATGGTTAGTACTTTTCAAATGGAGGATTAAAAAGTTCTAAGAAAAAAAGGGGTGTGGTGAGGGAATATTGTAGGGGACATGGGGAAGAGACTGCTCTCTTAAGAACATAAACTTCTAAGCTTTATTTATTCTTTTAAATACCCTATTAAAAGTGAGTCAGCCTTAGAAAAATTGTAAGGCTTTAATCAACATATTTAGACATCAATTAAGCCAGTATGTTTTGGTGATTTAACCGATTGAAGTTGATGCAAAAATAAATGATGATACTATATTTAAGAAGCTGCTGCCTCTGATATAAGGCTGAAACAACAGAATCAGCCTCAGAAATTAGAGGCATGGAGGAAGAGATGGAAAAAGGATATTAGTCAACAGGTGAATAACAGAAGGAAGAAAAACAGAGTTAAAACTGATTCTGTGTTTATGTAACAGGTAACATCATATAAATGTGGATCTTTTTCTCCTTGTTAAATATTTAGCCTGTTTAAATATTGAAGCCTTATTTTAAATGCCTCCCTCAATCTGCAATTGTATAGGACATCACATTAAATTAAAATATACAGCCTGAAGTAAAAGTTCCTGGATTAGGGATATATGCAAGAAGAATGGAGCTTCAAGTTGCTGTACTGATTTTGTTAATTGCCTTAGTAGTTTGAGAAGGGAAATGCTACTTCTTAACAATTTTAAAAAACGGATCAAGGCATTTACTGCACTGAGCAGTAAATAAGCAGAGAGAGTAAGATGGGCAGCTGGCTTAATCTGAATTTTTCTCTTTTGTTTCCACAATTTACCTCAAACATCAAGTGACTATAATAAAATGTTCATATTGCTAATGACAGCTAAAATTTGTTGAGGCACTCTTCTAAGCTGTGTTCACACATCAACTCATTTGAGGCTCACAATAACCCCGTGATACAGGCACTATAATTATTCCCATTTTACAGATGAGAATGCTCAGGAAGGCCAGATTAATTGCTTAAAGCATTAGGGCTACGTAGTGGGTTTGGTAAAACACATTTTCATTAAGTAAAGGTATACATTCCTAAAACAACATTGTAAGATAAGACCAATTCTGTTCATCTATCCACCATCATTCTGATCCTAGCACATATTGGCGTTATAGCCATATTATTTAAAGCCATA